AGAGAGAGAGAGAGAGAATTATGCACTAAATTCTGTCAGAACATTGTTATAAATAACTGCTGAAAATCTTGTTTATTAATTGTTTATAAGCTTTGATTAAATCAAATCTTTACAAAAACGTATGAAAAATTATTTAATAACAAATATTTAGCACTTTATGTCATAAAGACTTCAATTTATGGAATATTTTTCATTATTAACGTTCGTCTAAATAATTATTTCATATAAAACATGATTAATTATTCAGTTTTACAATATATTTTAATATTATGTTTGGGTAAATATAATTTTTATATTAAAAATAGCAAAGAAATAACAATCTTATGGCAGACAAGTATTCATCTCAAAGATTCAATTGAATTAAAAACTCGAGATTCTGTTGTTTTTGTCAAATTGTGTTTAATATATAATTCTGTGGTTTTATAGGAAACAACTGTTGCGCAGAATTTATCGCTGAATATAAATATTTTAACCAACAATTGAGCGCTTTTTGTGTCAAACCTTTAACCAAAACACGTCTTCGTTTAGCTTTTTTCGGATAAAATTTATTTGTTTTCAATAGACAGTCGTTTATTTAAGTTTCGCTTTAATTGTTGTCTTTAATACTACAACACAATTACTCTTATCTGTCATTTGAATTTGTTTTTATCGCTAAAACACATCCATTTTAAATGACAAATATTTATTGAAATATAACAAACTTGTGATACACGTTGAAAGCTGTCTCCAAATTATAAATAATATAACTTATTGAGTAAAGACCAGTAAATTATTAAATAAAAGTTACTCTCATTTTATGAAAATTATAACTTTAATAAAAGTCACAAAACGATAACAAAAATCATCAAAAATAATGAAATTTTCACAATACATGCAAATATTTTATATTTCAATACTACTGTCAGTGTTGGCCACAGAATTAAATGCAATCGATTGCAGGTATGAATTGTTATTAAATTTATGTCTTAATTGTTTGATAATATGTTTTAATTAAAGGACATTCGTATTCGCGCCTCAATGTCGAGGCGTTTCCAAGAAGTCTTTAGACTCGGAATCAAATCTGTATTCATTGAATAATGAAGAGAAGTAAGTGTTTTGAATATTAAAATTGTTAACATATTGTTCACAAATTATTGCATTTATACTTTTCTATTGTAACTAAACGTAATTAGAAACTAATTTCCACAATTAACCATTCATTTTTATTTATAATTAGAATACTTTGATCACATGATAAAAAATATTAAAAACATTAATTTTCTTTATATTTAAATATTAATGTTGTTAAAACTCTAACTACTATACTATAAAGTAGTATACATTTTGTAATTGATAATAAGTAGTATATAAGAAACTAATACATAATAATTTACATAGATAGGTCATTATAAATTGAGTCTATGTTTATTTAATAGGAATTATTATTTTCAAAAATATGATGTATACTAAACAATACCTTAATTCCAAAATAATTATATAAAGTCCGGAAAATATAACATTACATTCATTACTTTACTTTCTAGAAAGACCACAAAATAAGCTTAAATTTAATACTATTCGCATAACCTTTAAATTTACGGACAAAACATATAGGTATAAAAGATATAATAAAATAACAAATATAGTAATAATAAATATAAATATATTTCTCAACAAATCCTTATATAAATAGATTCAAAATAATATTCACAATAAGTGTTGAGTGTATATATATTATATAGGATTGTCATCGTATAGGCGTCTATAATATTGAATTTGACAAAAGCATCAATATTTTATGTGCTTATTATATATAGTTATGTTTTCAAAACAATTGAATTAAGATAAAATTAATTAATATAATTAAATGGAAGAAATAGACATTTTCAAATTATGTTTACACATAACGGTAAATGTTTTATTGTATTATTTACAACAGTTTTAATAATTTAATGAATGTTATGAAACATAACCACTAATTTAGAGATCTATATACCGGTAATACATGAAAATAGAGCAAAAGTATTCATTCATCTCTGGAGAAAATTAAAGTTTTATGTTTTAATTTATTGCTAAAATTATATATTAAACTATAAAACTAATTATAGCAATACTATTGTAGTCAATATGGCTTAAATTTTAATAATTTTAATTTAAAATCCAACAATATTAAAGATTCATAAAAATATAATATAAATAATTTTTTTTAATAACAGAATCAATGAATTGAAATCTCAATTGAAAGACAACCCTTTGATTCGCGCTCTTCTCAAGAATTGGTTCAAAGACTATAATATGAAGGAAGACGAGGAAAAAGAGCCCATAATATGATTGTTGACTATATTTTGGTTTAATGTTGTGTTTTTCTGACCATATCTCAGGCATTGCTGTAAATTATTATGATTTATAAAATAATGAATAATATAAATATATGTATGATTTATATACCAAAAATCAAATTGTCTTGATTTGAATGAATACTTTTTAAAATGGCATAAAATTTTGATTTAATTTTTAACTTTTATAAAAAATTATTCAAGACTTAAATAGAGTAGATTAGTGTACAAAACATCAATCATTATATAAATGTTTTGCAATTATTTGTTTTAAATATGTTTATAATTGTATTTAAAACATGCTAATAAATGGATTATTAAGTTAATATTTTTAAACAACGACCATGGTGGTGTAGAACACGTAATATCTAAAACCGGTGGTTTGGAGAAAGTAGAGTGACCATTGGTTCGTTTACATCAATCTAGTAATTATAGTTTTTACAGTTAAATATAATTAACACAAATGTAAAACACATTAAAATATTAAAAAAGTTAAGAGTTCTGCACTCTTTTCCCAATCACTCCTTGGATACGAAACATTCACTCATTTTTTATTATAATCTTAAGTCAATTAGTATTTTAGGCTTAAAGTTAATAAATAAATGGAATATAAGAATATGCATTAATAATTCATAATTTGGAAAAGTACTCATAATTAGTAATTAAAAATAACCTTATTCCATGAAACCATTAAAACCATGTGCAAACAATGCTTTAAATTTTGAATTGAAATAAAACGTTGTTTTAAATTATATTTAATATTATTTGCAATTAAGAGAAGCGGAGCTCAAGTGAGTTAAAGCTCTGGCATATAATCTGTGAAATGGTGTCAAACAATAGGATTGCGAGGAATCGGTTGGCGAAAGAACTGGAAGAGATTGAGAGAAACCCACCGATTGAGCTGTCGGTCGGTCCGGTGGACGATAACCTGTTCCACTGGGAGGGCATACTTCACGGCCCACTCGACAGCCCATACGAAGGCGGGCTCTTTCGCTTCAGAGTGGACTTCACCGCCGATTATCCCAACAAAGCGCCAAAAATTCGTTTCATTTCTCGTGTATTTCATCCGAATATAAGCAGAAACGGAGACATTTGCGTGGATTTGCTTCAGAAACAGTGGTCGTCGGCCTATACTCTAACTCAAGCCATGATTTGCATCTCATCGCTGTTAACCGATCCCAACACCGGCTCACCATTGAATCCAATGAGCGCTCAATTGTATGAAACGGATCGACAGAAATATAACTCTACTGTTAGAGAATGGGTCAGAATATACGCCAGCGCTGAGAGTCTGGACATGTAGTCTCTCTCACTCTTTCCATGTGATCACAAAACTGCTCATTATTTGTTGAATTTGTGTGTAATTTTCAAATAAATGTTTATTTGCTTTCAATTTACTGATTACGAAACATTTCAAATATATTGAAAACTCATAATATTTATAAATTTATTCAAAACAAGGATCATTCAGCGGTGCTATACGTTAACTACAAATCGGGTATTGCTCAAAGAATAGATTGGCATTGTGTACAGATTTAATATGAGTCATATAGATTTGTCATAGACTTAACATTGCACATAGGATTAGCATTAGCACCATAGATTTAACATTACCCGTAGGATAACATTAACCCCATGTTAAGCTATAGCCATAGGATTAACATGCAATCCCGAGTTAAATCCCATAGTGTGAGGCCAGAGGAGGGGGCCAAACGATCCTATAAACCACATAATTCATGCTGAATTGTGTTTAAAAATGAAAGTATAGTTTCGTGTTTTGCTGTTTTAAATATATTTTTCATAAAGTGTTATATGATGTGTAACTTAAATATATTTTATTTAATACTTTCTGTCATGTAATATAAAAGTGATATATTTGTGGATAAATTTTGTGATATACTGTAGTTATGTGTTTCGCAAACATAACTATGCATTTTGCGGGCAATTGGTTGCCCACGTGTTTGTCTTTCTGAGACAATCGTTGTCTGTCGTAATGGCATAAAACCCACTGTTTTTTAAAACAACAGAAATGACTGTTTGTCGACAGGAAGTCCTTAATGGCAACCAAAAGACCATTAAATAGAAGACAAGAATCACAGAATTGTGTTTGTCTTTTACATTAGATAATAATCAATAAGTTTTTTATGTATAAATTCCGATATTTCTTTATACTTTGTAAATTAAATAAAATTTATTGACGTATAAAATATTCAAATTGATTTATATACTTATTAATTGGAATCCGTTTTTCGTGAATTATGTTTTGGGTAATATTTAGCAAAACTATTCTTTAAAATCAATATTTTTCAATATACTTTCACAATACAAGTAATATTTATACACTTGGCTTATATTTTAAAAAAAGTTATATTATTTTCAAAAATAAAAAGTATTTTTTATTTAATATGGTATTTGTTGTGACATTAGTTCGTGATATGAATTCTGATGACAATTGTTTGGATATCTTAGACGTCAAGATATTTTCATTTATTGTGAAACAAAGCATATGTTGTTTTCAATCAACATTATTGCACAAGTGATTGGACATCTTTTTACCATGGCACTTTTAAAAGAGTTTAGTGTCAGTGAAGTATTGAATTGATCAATAAATTCCCACCATTTCCCACTATTTATCAGTTAATTACTAAAATATATTTGATTTGCTTTGAAAAACACTTATATTTTCTAAAAATATAAAGATCTATAAATTATTACTTTTTAGATTATATGCAAAATAAATGCGTTAATATTTAATAAAATCTTTTGTTCAATAAATATGTTTATTTATAGTTGAATAAAAAGTCAACTGAATATTAAAATAGGATTCTATAGAAACGATATATTGTTTTAATAAAAAATTTTGTTTATTGTCATATAAATCACAATTATTTAGAGTATTGTCCCAAAGCTTAGAATATTTTATACAAAATATTTTATTGAAATTTCTTAATTAGGACAAAAACAAGCAAAACATCTCTTTGGCGACAATAATGACAACATTTTGGGCACATTTTCATATGGTTTTTAGGATTTGTTATTTTTTGTGTCCAAAGTTTTTGTCAGAAACTAACTTTTGATGTCATTATCTATGAATTTGTTGTATTTCTCTGTGTTATCAATGATTGATTGCATTTAAAAACACTCCAAAAGTCCTTCTGTTCGGTAAGAGATGTAAAAAATGACAAAACAGTGAATTTGTGGAGATTTTGCGCACATTTGCCACAAAAAGGCAAAAAATATTTGCCTCAATAGTAAAGTTGTTGTGTAAAAACTTTTATCCCTTCAGTCCATTGTTTGATTGAATTTCAATTAATTTAGTTTATGTAACAAATCATTGAAAACTAATACTCATTTGGGATTTGTGTCCATTAATAAAATTAATTGACGCCAAACTTGTTGAACATATTTTTGAAAATCCTTTGTAAGTATAAACAATTTTTATAGAATATTCTGTAAATTCTGTTAACAAAAATTAATTTGTTTACATAATATACTGTATATTATTGTTTATGATGCACATTGAACTTCATAAATATATTGTAAAATTAGATATGATTCAAATTAATGATAACAATAATTTTTAAACGTACAGTTTTTAAATATAAGCCATTTAAGTTTATTATATAATATTATACAAGATAAACTAATTGTTTTTATTTGAAAGCAAGTAATGTTTGCGTGAGAAACATGGATAACATTTGTGTATTGAATAAGACTTTAATTAAAAATTATTTTTACCCATTTATTGATTTGCTTTTAATTACATTTAAGTCAACAAAAACCTACGACAGAATTGTATCTAAAAAAGACAATGATTTCTGTACAAACAAATACAATGTTTAAAACACTAATTTGACAATTTTGAATATAATATAATGTTATAGTATTATTAATGTATAAAATAGTGAACTATTTATACAATAAACAACTGAATCAAATATAGACTATGTTTTACCGAAAATACTAGAAAATTTATCTTTATATTGATTTTTCAAAATTAATCGATTAATAATAAAAATTATATAATATTTCATTTGATAATTAATGTCTTTGAAAATTTTATTTGCTAACTAGCATTAGTTATAATGACAACAATTATAGTGAATACTATTTACTAAATAGATATTTATAGCTTATTTAATATTTAAAAACTATATATTAGATAATTAGCAAAACACACAGAAAGTCGGTGTTGACTAACAAATTGATTAATTAATTAAAGCATTTGTTTTGTTAGAATTAATCAAAAATAATTCATTTGCTGTAAACACCGTTTTCTTTACTTTCATTAAGTGTTTGATTAGATTTAATTAAATCGAGTAACAGATGAATAGTAATGAGTGCTATTGACAGTAGATTACTATTGATTTGATTCAATCCGCTGTACAAGACATGAGTGAAGTTGTTTAGCTGTCGAGAGAGAGAGAGAGAGAGAGAGAGAGAGAGAGCAACAAAAGCAAAT